TACGTGGTTCTGTGGCGTTATGATAGTCATTATTTATTCGCAGATCTACCCCTTCTGAACCCAATGATGCTAAATGACGATTTGACACCGTTGTTTCTCGGCCATCTGGGAACCGAATGTATGAATAGTCAGGATTGCTGTGTATCAATTCAACCTCTTCTACTAATGGCTGATATTTATTTGTACGATTAAATTTCTTCATCAAGACTTGTCCAGAATTTGTAAGCCACGGTGGAACAGAAGTGCCGTTAGTAGATCGTCTTGGGTGTCTAAACATTATTTCATGTGGAGTGCAATTTATGGCTGTACAAAGTAAAGATCGAATCGAATGTAAGGCTTGTGGTAATACTTGCTCCCAATTTTCTACCGAAAGATTCTTCGTCTTCAGCGCCAAAAGAATCGTTCTCCAAAGAGTAGAATTCAATTTTTCTATTTGCCCGTTACCTTGAGGGTTATAAGCTGTAGTTCTACTTGTGGCAATACCTCTAACATGTAAAAAATCCTGTGCAGAGAGAAATGCTGTTCCGCGATCTGAATGAACGTAAGAAGGCATGCCGAATATCATAAATAAGTTGTTGAGGTGTTTAATTACTGTTTTCGAGCTTACATCTGAGCATGGGAAAGCAAACGGGAAACGTGAAAATTCGTCAATCACGGTAAGTATGAATTTATTATTATTGTTTGTTGGAACTGGTCCTTTAAAATCTAAGCTAAGGCGTTCAAAAGCAGCCGTCGCTTTAACAAGTTTCCTCTGGTCATCAAAAGTATTTCGGAAGAATCTAGGTTTTACTTCAGAGCAGGTTTGACAAGATTTTGTCATTGTTCTGACTTCTTCAATGGAATAGGGAAGGTTTTTAGAGCGAACCCAGTGAAACATTCTCGTTACCCCTGGATGACAAAGAGCCTCATGCAGCGAGAAAAGTTTTGCAGTACGTGTTTCTACAGTGGCACAAACTCGGGATAGTGCATCAGCAGCATAGTTCTCTTTCCCCGGTCTGTATATAATATCAAATTTGAAAACAGCAAGTTCCAGTCGCCATCTTTGAATCTTTTCATTCTTTATCTTACTTGAATGTTTCATATTAAACATAAAAGAAACCGAGAGTTGGTCAGTTACCAACTTAAAGTGTCTACCGATAAGGAAATGTCTCCATTTCTTCAATGATTCAACAATGGCGTACGCTTCTTTTTCAATGGCGGAATGGTTTTGTTCGCTTGAATTCAAAGTTCTTGAGAAAAACGCCACTGGTCTAGAATTTTGCGTAAGTACTGCTGCAATGGAATGATCGGAAGCGTCAGTTTCGACTGTAAAAGGTATATTTTCATCAATTGCATGTCTAGAAGACTTTGCGATATCATTTTTCAGGCCTTGGAAACATTCAATTTGCTCGCTTGTGAGCGGAAAAGTAGTCGTATTAGCAAATGAGTGGATCCGTTCAGAAAAGTTTGGAATCCACTTAGAATAATGTGCGAACATGCCGAGTGTCCTTCTTAAGGTCGGTAAATCGCTTGGTGCAGGTAAAATTATCAGTGGCTTGAGTCGCTCACTGTCAGGTTTAATTATGTGGTTTTGAATATTATAGCCTAGAATATTAATTGACTCTTGAGAAAATTTGCATTTTAGCATACTTTAGTGTTAAACCGTATTTCTTTGCGGCATTCATAAAACTTTCTAAGTTATGATCGTGTTCTTGAAGAGTACGGCCACAAATAGTTATATCATCAAGATACGCATATGTGTTTTGAAGCTTTTCTTTCCTTATAATCCAATCGATTGTTCGTTGGAAACTCGAAACACCATTTGTTACTCCAAAACCATTTGTTACTACCATTTGTTACTACAGTTCAGGCGTATCCCACGCCTGAACTGGTACAAATTTCCGAGCGCTTCAAAAGCGGTAAATTTTCTTTCTTCGGGTAGTATAGGTACTTGATGGTACGCACTTTTCAAGTCTATTAGGCTGAAAAATAAATTCTTTGCCACTTTCGAAACTAAGTCCTCAATGTTTGGTAAAGGGTACGCGTCGAGTTCTGTGTAACGATTAATTGTCTGGGAGTAATCAATCACAAGACGTTTTCTATGAGTTTCGGTTTTTGTTATTAGTACTTGGGCCCTCCACGGTGATTTACTTTCTTCAATCACGCCTTCTTCTGTAAGGTTTCTGATTTCCTCTTTAATAAATTCACTATCCTCTTTGCTGTGCCTTCGAGACTTAATAGCAATAGGTTTGCAGTTGGGAGATACATTTGCAAAAAGCGGTACAGCTGGTACTGATGCTTCGGCTACGTTACATACTTGAAGTGGATGTTTTGGCCCACCGAAAGAGAACTCTAGCGATGAATGTTCTTCGAGGACGTCATGGCCGATAATTATGTCAGCACAAAGATTTTTCACGATAAGAAGATTCACATTATCATATTTATGATTTCCAATTTTCAGGCTTTGCAAAGTTTGACCTTCTACTTGTGAAGTATGATTAAGAGAGGCCATAGAAATAATCTGATTGCAGGATTTTCTTTTTAACCCGCATAGTCTTGCAAAACTGTCATTTATAAAACTGATGGAGCTGCCGGTATCGAGAAGTGCCTCTGCTCTTATTCCTCGAATAAACGCGGGTACAGTAGCTTTGTGTAATGAATATGGTGACGCTGCTGTGATACAAGAAAGATTTTCAGTACCTACTACCATAAAATTTGTAGGTTTAGAAGAGCTTCTGCAAACAGTGGCAAAGTGCCCCTTCTTGTTACAGAGCTGACAAGACTGTTCAAATGCAGGGCAGTTCTTACGAGGATGTATTTGTCCCCCACAAAAGAAACATTGTCGTCGTCGAGGATTATTAACAGAAGAGCAGGTCTCGTCGTGCACAGTTTGTGATTTGGGACAGACTAATTTAGGTTCTTCTTCAACGGCATTTAAAGACACAGTATGAAAGCTTTGAGAGTTGATCTCTGCAGTTTCTAGAGAGAGTGCTTGGTTGTAAGCTTGGTCAAGTGTTAGATTTAAGTTTTTTAAAAGCCTTTGTCTGATTTTATGCGATGATATACCGGATATGAAAGCATCACGCACGCTATCGTTTTTGTTTGATTCTGCATCAACAGCCGCAAAGTCACAATCTTTAGAAAGTAGTTTCAAAGCTTGTAAATATATGTCGATACTTTCTTCTGATCGTTGTTTCCTTGTTGCTAACATGTGTCTAGCAAAAATCAGATTTTTTGGTTTTACATACAGTTTTTGCAGTATTGTGATCGCTTCTTCGTAGTTCGTGGCTTCGCTTATATATGTGTATATATTTGGTGATATATGATTTATCAAAAGCTGAAACTTTATGCTGTCCCATTTTTCTGACGGAGGAACCGACTGTGCATCTGTTTCTTGAGCGGTCGGTTTCTGCACGGAAATGAAGCTTTCGAAAGTCTTATGCCAGTGTATCCAAGCTTTCGTACCAGAGCTATTTGACGGGTCGATATCAAATCTTTCAGGGCGAAGATATTTATCCATGTCTCTTTTTATTTAGCTTATTAAATTGAAATAAGACAAAACCTTTGAAGAATATAAGGTTTTAATAAGCTAAATTAACAGTAAAATATTTTGGTTACATTTGATACATTGACAAAAGTTAGTGTCTAAACAGATTGACAATGTCATCATTTTATAATAGTATCATGTAAGAAGTTTACATCAAAGAGGTTTACATCACTACCGATTACCGAAATACCGAATAGCGTACGCGTTAAGGTGTCTGCCCACTATCCCGTAGCATACCATGACCGTGCTAGGAACGTATCCAGCACGGAAAGCAATCCGGTACGCTCTATTTCGCCCACTGAAGCGGGTCGACAGCGTTCTGAACCCGTTTACAACCCGTATGTAACCCGTATTTAATCTGTATGATGCCCGTATGTGACACGGCAGAAATCTTTTCAATACACTCGTAAGGCATCGGTTCATTCTCGTACAAATATCAGTGTTAATATTGGACATTATTCAGGCACTTAGTTGATGACGGAGAAAAGTTTTTTCAGTACTTCCGAATGTGTACATTCAAATTTAACGCCTTTGTCACGTGTACAAAACGGGTTTGTAACGGTCATACTCCCCGCTCAGTCACCGGTCTGGCAACGTCGCGTGCCATGCACGTACCGTGTCCGCACCGGCAAAATATTCCCTCCGACGAATAGTTGACGGCCCGTGCATGGCACGCTACGGTGTCGGCCGGTGACGGAACGGTCTAGTGGGCATGGTCTCATACTTCTCCATACAAAGAATAGTTTTTTGTCTGAAACGGTCCTAGTACGGTCATGGTATGCTACGGGATAGTGGGCAGAGAGCTTTAATGTGTGTCTTTTCGTAGCACTGTCATGGCGTCGCTTATTGTATTGCCGACTCACGCCTTTAGGGCCTAGGCTACCGACTGTCGACACGAGCTGTCATTTTCATACAAATTTAGTTTTCGACTTTCTACATACACTACTGTTAAGCCATCTTGGCTAGACCCCCTGCGCTGTTTAATATATATGTTAATAATGAAGTATGTAAACAACACAAAATTATAAAAGGACAAAATGGACGCCAACGGCCAAGAACTCTTTCAATATTGAATTGTTAAACGGTGACAATTATCATACATGGAAGTTTCGAATCCTTACATTATTAGATGAAAAGGATTGTTTAGAATGTATAGATGTAACATTTCAGAAGAAAATAAGTGAGAGTCAAAATGCAATGAAGGATAAAAATGTAAGTCGTATATTATTCAATGCGTCCACGATTCCTAATTGGATATGATATAATTATAAATAAAAACACTGCTTATTTAATGTTGGACACTTCAGAAGAGGCCAAGTCAATTACTACTAAGAAAAATACTTATGACTATAAAACTACATGGTGAAAATACCATGAAGCTTTTTCACTAGAATTTGAAGAAAATATAAGAAAAGTAAATGCATGTGGTGTGGAGTTGAAATACCAAGAAAGTATTTGCTGTTTATTATTGGCAATGCCAAAAAGTTGGGAAACAGTTACCACAATATTAGAAAGTATGCCTTCAAAGGAACTAACTATGTATATAGCGAAAACAAGATTGAGATCAGAAGTAGAAAGAAGGGGTGTACTGAAAGAAACAGATCTAGGAAGTACAAGTAATAATATTCCATCTGCATTGGCAAATAATAATACTACAGATTTATTTTACAATTGTGGGAAACCAGGACATTTAAAGATGAATTGTCAACATCTACAAGGAAATGGTAATAAGTTCTCAAGACATCCATCTAATAAATCAATAAGCATTTCCTAAGAGGATGTTTTACACCATCCAGAGGATTGAATGGTACATTTCGAGGACGAAGCGGATCAGTATGGAAACAACAATATGGAAATATGAAGCGAGCTAACTACATGGAAATATGAGGCAATTCAACAACCCAAAGGAAACTCTTTTAGTTTCATGACAGAAGCATACACATGTAATGAGAACTCGAGCAATAAGTCTGTGAGTAGTGATTCTCTTTTATTTTATGTGGATTCAGGTTGCACTGACCATATGGTGAATTATATTAAATATTTTATTGAATTTATGTATCTGAAAAATCCTATTAACATAGCTCTAGCAAAGAATAATAACTATATGAAAGCAATTGGAGTAGGAAATATAAATGTTGAAGTAAAGTTAATGGTCAGTCTGTAAATGGTGTTCTAAAAAATGTATTTTTAGTTCCAAACTTATGCGAAATTTACTATCTGTGAAGAAAATAGAAACATGTGGAAACAAGATTGTTTTTAATAATGTTAAAGTATTTATTTATAGTAAGAACAAATTAATGTGTATTGGACGAAGAAATAACTTGTATGAAATAAGCTTTAACATTAATATAAACTTTATATTATATCAAGCTGCGTAAGGAATGCAGCTAATATCGATTTGGTCATATTTGTTATAGTAACATATCTAAATTAATTAATTCTAATCTAGTAAGGGGGCATTCTATTGTTTGGAAGCTATTAAGGTTTGTCGCAAAACTTGTTAATTATGTACCAGTGTGCAAATATAGAATATTTACAAAATTGTTCTCTTCTGTAAAACGATATCCTGCATTACTGGCTAGAAGAGGTTTAACACTAACATTTACTCTTATGATTACAGGAATGTGATAACCAAGAGGGCTATCATGCACACCCCATTCAAATTCACCCCAAAGATACAACTGTTGTTGCTTGACCGTTTATTAAGCAGAACTAAATTATTTTCATCAATAACATCCAAAATGTGACGATCATGTATTGAGTCTGAGCCACAACCCCAAGAGGTATGATGAGCAATAAGTTACCAGCAAATATAAAAGGTTCAGGGATAGGTTTTATGAATAAATCGGAGTTACTTTTCTTGAATTCTGAATTACATTTCAAAGGACTATTAAAAACTTACTATTCTAATTTCTTTGTTATCAACTTTTATTTTTACACAGATATTTTGTAATGAGTTGTCAAAGTAGGTATTAACTATATTGTGGGCAATACTTTTGTGAATAATTATTGCATCTTCTTTATGTTTGTTACCAGTATCATTTCTTTCAATGTAATGTTTTATTTTAAAATTTTGTTGAGGTTTAAACCATGCTTCACGGATATTTGCTTACATGCTGTTAGTGCTGGGAAGGCATTTGTATCAAATCTGAATATATGGCATTCCTAGCTTATATTTTATTTTCCTTTACTTATTCCTTTTTCATTTAGAAGAAAGAAATAGCAATATGATTACCCTCACAGTTTGCACATTGGCATCCTTAGAGGCAACCTGGCAAGATTTAAAATTGTGTTTCCCTGCACAAATTGAACACACTTCCGAATTATGACAAAATTTAGCAATACCTAGTCCAAAATGCATACATTTCAAACATTGTTTAACAGGTGGAATATATTATATTACTTTATGACACCAAGAGAACTTTATATTTTTGTCTTCACATAGGCGTATTATATCCACGTTTAAATGGCTAGAAAGGTTATCACCAATAACCACTTTGGGGCCTTGTAGCTGTTCAGCCCAAGGTATGACGATTGTGTGGAACCAATCTTCAAAAACAGTGGAATCGAACCAGCCTGATTTAGTTCGATTATATCTGCTACCGTTTGGTCCATTTTGACACTGACGTCCACAAATGCTCTGCTTTATAAACAGTATAAGTTGGCAAGAGTATTCCATCTGCTGCCGCTTCAAACATAATCGATATACTAACCTTGGTGTGGTTGAGAACCATTTCGGGATATTTTATTTCGCGCTTAAAAATGCATTTTGACGATCCGGGATCTGAGAGATCATCATAATTTGATATATTTCTTGCGGGTATGTCTTTTAAGGTATCTTTTAGATTTGCGAAATAAGTACTAAATTCATCGACAGTTTTTGCACGAACTTTTTTGATATTTTGTGGCGCTCGGGCTCGCTCTAGGCTATTTATCTGGATGCAGTGCCGGTTTTAGCACTACCAGCGCCATGGGCGAGATTTATACGGCCCCCCCTAACTGCAATTCATACCCATATAAAAAAAGGAAAATGATATAATGAAATTACCATTTATTAAAAAAAAACTAATAAAATTTGCCTTTTCTAGCCTTTCTGTCGGCGATCTCTTATTATTTTATCATCGAAAATCTTAATTTAATTTAAAATCGAGGTTTTCAGCAATTTCATTTTTCACAGCAAAGTTGCCAAGTTTGTCAATTGGGATCTCTGTCTGTTTTAATTGTTTTTTAATCTGTTTTATATTGTACAAAAAATACCAATATTTCGAGTACTCATTTCACTGTTCAAATCTTTCGAGTGCCGTGAAACGCGTGCGTGTTTTTGATTTTTAAAGATGGCTAAATGGTCGGAAGATACAACTATCAAATTTGTGTCTGAATATGTTGTTCACGAATGTTTGTGGAACGTTAAAAACAATTTTTACAAAAACAAACAGGCTAGGTATTCGGCATACACTGCCTTAAAAGAAGCTATTTTATTCATATTTAGTTCATTTATTTCGAATAAAATCTCGTCTTCTATTTGTTCCATAACAGTTAGTATTTTGCGAAGAATAGAGCGTATTTGCCGACGTCGTTGCTCGTTCATTGTGGCGCTGTAATGATGATACTCTACTGGAAGAAATGTAAACGTTCACTCGCAACGCACTAAAGCACTAAAGTACTTGCCTTTCAACTTGTACTAAAATACTCTCCTAAACACTAAGATAATGTAAATCGGCCCTAACATATCGAATTCTTGTCGTGGCTCTAAACACAGGTTCAATTTCCAGTTCTTCAGCCAATTCCTTCTCCATTAAAATGGCGCTTTTGAATTTCTATATTCTTCCTAGAAAGTGCAGCATTTTTGCAACAGTTCTGTGCATTGACCGAGATCTGTGTCTGTTGATTGCAGAGATTTACTAACGATATTAATTTGATGAGCTGAGTGTGTTCCGCTTCGTCAAAAATAACATCAACTCTCTCTAATTTAAACGTAAAAAAGAGATAGATAATGTTTTTCTCGATGGTCGGGGATTCCCGGTGAAATTAAATGCATGCAGTGCAGTGCTCCGATTTAACCCTTAATTCGACAGATCGTTTTTTAAAAAGAATTTGTAAAAATTTTACTGATTTCGATTCTTAGCTTGTTAGGAACACGCGAAAAAATTCCTGAAAAAATCTACCTATTTCAGTTTCCTAAAAAACTTAGGTCCACTATACTGGACATTATCATGTTCATAAGAAACTAAAGCACTCCAACCGCGTGCAGTATACTTCCCATTGTCAAAGAGAAAGAATGAAAGAAACAAGTGATTCCGTAGGAAAATAGTCATTATATTTTAGCAAATCAGTCTCATCGTTACATTGCTTACGCTTAAAACACTAATAGGAACTCCAAAAACTTATAACTTATGAACAACTCACTTATGTTTTGAACATAATAATGAAGTATCTATAAAATATTCATAACAATCAACATTTTACTTATTAAAAAATAATCAGCACTCTTGTTTTAAAAAAAAAATCAAAAAGATCAATGTAGCTTAAAGTAGACCAACTATCACTTGTTTTTGGTTGCCCTGCTTTACTTATTGTGAAAATTATAAAAGCAATTTCGTTTGGTCACTAAGCACAACCTCTGCTTGCATTTGGAACAATGTATGTTCGTTTTATTGTGCTTACAGAACTTGCAACGTCCATATGTCGTATACTCAGACCAGTGGTGGTAGCCATCATATCGCACAGAAACTGGGGGCCTTGGTGCACTTGGGTTTTGGATCAGCGCTTTTTTCGGCAAAGGGCTTGGTGGTTCCCTCTCAATTGATCTTCTATTTTGCCTCAATTCAATTGCCAACCTCTCTAAACTTTTTCAGGCTTATGTTTTTTTGGTCAACGCCTCCCATATGTTGATTGTAATGTCGAACTAACTGCGGACACGTGACACCAAGTTTCTTTTTCTGTTCTTTGCTCCATCTCTTGATTTCGTGAACTGGGTAAGCATCTGCATAAGAACAGGCCAAAGTTACGACTTTATTGTCGTACCATTTGACAATAGCTATCTTTCTGTCGTTGTCTACAACTTGGCTAAATGAACCTCTTCCTCTTTTCTTAAGTTCTTTGTCACTTAACAGTCCCTTGCAACCTTTGAGTCGGTTTTGCCTTATGGTTCCGAGGCTGAAAATCCCCCTGTGTTCACGTAGATACCAGATCAAGTCGAGCGGAGCGTTGTGAAATAGTCATCGAAATAAACAGCACATCCTGGAGTATGAATTGTCTTGCAAAGGGCTAATTAAATACCATTAAATACCATTTTTGCACCCAGTGTCATCTGCTCTTCTTCCGCGCTAAAACCAATATAACGGAAAGTGTCATCGCCGCCGTACAACAAAAAATCATAAACGATTCCAGACGCACCAGCGCGCACGACATTCTTGAACCCCCATTTATTAGGTTTCATGGGGTTATACTGTCTCCGGTTTCCTGCTTTTGTGCCCTTATAAGGTATAGTCATCTCATCTATGCTATACTGTGTTTCTTCCTCCGTTGCTAGGCAGTTCCTCCTAATTTTTTCAACAAATGGTCGTATTTTGTAGTATCTGTCCTCATCCGAATTGGCGTTGTCCACAAAGTGAATATTGCGTCGAATCTGCTCGAATCGTTTCAGTGGCATTACGTTAGCCACTTGGGCATATCTGAATTCTGTAGACCAATAGTCAAGATAAGACGGCATTTTCACTATACCCATTATAAGAAGAATCATGAGAAAGTCTTTCAACTCGTCGATGGTTAATTGTATACATTTGCCAGTTCTTTGGGTTCGTATTATCGACGATATCGACGAGTATACCTAGGGAGAAGAACCGATAAAAAAAATCCAACGGAGAGTCGGTATCCGGTAAATCAAATACAAAGTCGTTTGATGGAATGTCAGCCTTGTGTCTGAATTGTCCTTTCTTCCATTTGTAGCTCACAATGAGCGTTTTCTTTGTCTTTTTAGCCCGGACATTAGGCTCGGGTCGTACTGGTAGTTTCTTTTTACGCCTGGTTGTCCTTGATGTTGATGCACTAGCAATAGACGAAACATTTGGTGACGGAATCGACAATAATGAAGCCAAACTTGGTAAAGCATTATAATTTACTTCACCAGTTGGTGGTAGAACATTGTTAATAATAGGAGTCAACGGAGGTCGCTCATGGATCAAGTTGTCTTCGGCTTCTAACGACGGGTTGTTCTCGCTGCCACTGATGCTCGGACGGTCCTCTGTTTGAAGATTTTCGTTTACTGTCTCCATGAAAGTATCACTATCAACGTCTCGTCACTGTCAATTGAAACATTGTCGTGTGCATCATTTTCGGAGCTGTCTAATATATTCATGTTTTGTATGTATGAGTCGATGGAAGGGCATGGTGAGGACGACAACTCCTCAGTTCTATGCACTGCAATTTCCTCTTCATTTTCAGGTTCAGAACCACTATCTATACCCGAAGGAGCATTTTCAGGTGGCACCAATGCTACCAATTGATGTCCTCTCGACTTGAAGCTCTGAAAAAATGAAGAATAGGAAACTTTAAACATTTTATTTGCAGATCCCTGAAAATATCATTACATGAAACATCGATAGTTAATATTCTACTAAGACGGCAACGGGAATAATACCAGACATACGATATTGTATTTAGTTTTCTACTACATCGACAAGGGGAAGAATACTGGACATAGTATTTAGCAGTTACTTTATTAGTAATTTGATGACGGGAAGTATACTGGACACACAAGTTGTGAGCGTCGTAAAAACTAAACAAAACTCAATAAGACAATCAAAACAATGTGAGTAGCTCTCCGGGTATGTTATCTTTAGTTTTCAATAATATTGCCAGGAAATAAGCCGCAACATAATAAATAAAATGCAACATACCGAAAGCCCACGCAGCGTGTCCTTCCTTCCCGCCATCTCGCTGGTTACTGCTCGCGGCCCCTCGATGGACACGCGTTGCTGATTTTTGACAACGTAGCTAGATAATTCAAGGTGCAATTATAGCATCTTAGCTTAGATATATGGTCTATTTTTTTATGTAGATTTTTTTTATTCAAAGGGAAGTATACTGTACGGCGTCGAATTAAGGGCTGCGTTCCATTCTAGTGTTGCCAACATAACGATTTTTTCACTAAATAATTTTCTAATAAAAATAAAGGGGCGCCTGTGGTGCCCCTTTATTCAACCGCGCTCGACCATAAGGGCTTGGTCACAGTTTCTGGCGGTGTGCTACAATAGAGAACTATAATAATGGCCCTATCAAAAGTGGCACGGTATTGCCTTGAAACTAGTGCGTTCTTAGCTCAAGATATCAATCAATCAAGAATAGGAGCGCACCCAGTTAACCAGAAAAGGAGAGAATTTGGCGAATTTCACAGTCTTTATTATGAATATAGAAAGTATCCTAATACATTTTTTGTATATACCTACAAGGGCATAGAACCCTTTGATTATATTAAGGTAAGGTACTTTATGCAGATAAATGAGAGCATTAACTTATTCATCCCTGTATTTATTTACTTTAGATAAATTATTAATCAAACTTAAATTTGTTTTTAATTATAATTATATTTCTGCACATTAGTCAATAATCAAGTTCTTAACTTTTTAGTAAATTATGAGTTATTAATATTATTTATGCCGTAGTCAGAAGGCGGCGGTTGAGTGTAAAATCCTTGATAACCTGGATATTGATTGAGACTAATTTCGTCAATCAAAGCTTGAGTGAATTTATTCCTCATTCTCATTTTCTGCAAAACATTAAGCTTTTCCATTTCTGGCAATAAACTCATTAAAAAGTGATAGTCATCTGACCTGGGAATGTCTTTTTCTTTACCACCTGCTAAGTCAGCTTCCAATATCTTCAATTTTTTTCTTTCTATTTCTAAATACTAAGCACGGATTTCAGTTGCTTTCAATCGTTTTCGAGAAGAATTTTGTGTTTCATTTTCTCTTAGGGTGGTAGCTTAAGACTGGATCTGCTGTCCTGATGAATGTGGAGTTGGTAGCTGCTGTGTCGGGGAGGTAGGACTTGATGGCAAAGGTGAAACTGACGGCGATTGGTTAGTTATAAGTTGAGATTCAGGAGTTTTGTTGTCTATTTCACGATGTTCTGAAGAATGTAGAATAAAATCATCAGGAATGTTGCAGATAGAGATTTCATTTTGTCGATCAGGTATAAGTTGTGTTTCAGGAGTTTTGCTGTCTTGCTTACGATGTTCTGTAGAATGTAGAATTAAATTATCGTTGTTAAGAAACTCTGCAGCTAGAAAATCTTCTTTGGTAAATATATCAGGGTTAAAAGGATATTGCAGCATTAAACCCTGCTTCTGGTTTGGGAATTGTTGCGATTTTTTGAAATGCTTTTCTGAACAAATGAAAATATCGTATGGAGTGATCTTGCGGCCTAAGTTTGACTTCATGAAATAGTTACATTCAGCCTTATAAACCGTTAAAAGGTCCATAAATTGATACGTCCATCGGTTGGATTCTGTGTGATCCGTGTGGTGGGAGAGACAGCATTACGATGTTGTTTGATTTGCATAACTCATAAGCTTTTATTGATATATGGCTCGAATGATTGTCAAGAATGAGAAGAATAGGATCTTTTTCCGAAGGCTTCGTATGATTCGCAAAGTGCTTCAACCAGTCCACAAATAAATTTTCATTTATCCAACCATTTTTTGAACAGCGGTAGAGTGCACCTCTTGGCCCATCTGCTTCTAGTGCTACAGAATGTCTCTGACGGGGATAAATAAGCATGGGTGGGACAAATATTCCCGTCGCACTCATTGCACAGACAGCTGTTACTGTTTGCCCTCTTTCACCACTGGTTATCGACCCGACACGCTTTTGGCCTTTCTCTGCCACAATTTTTCCCAGATCTTGCACAGAGGTGATTCCTGTCTCGTCGACATCAAAAATATTTCTAGGAGGAAAATTGAATTTCTCTATCAAGTCTCCCAAGAGCTTAAAAAATATATAAACTTCATCCTTATTAAATGCAATCGCTCTATTTAAACTCGTTCCTTCTGTTTTGCGGACATATAAATTGTTTCGCTTCATGAAGCCTTTAAGCCAGTCTTTGCCGGCCATTTGAGTAGCATTATTAAAGTTATTAGGCACACTATGTTTTACTGCGTATTCATACGCCATTCTCTTTATTTCACTTTCTGTGCACCCGTAAAATATCTTTGCTAATAGCTTGATTTGATCATCAATATTTCTCCTAAATCAGTGGCATATAGTTGTTTTAACTACTTTGCTTCTAATATATTCACTGTCCTCTAGTTCATACAGTTACCATAAGAAACCAAACGTGTTTACTGTATTATAAATAATTTGCAGGTTTTTTAAGCACTTTAAGGCAATCAATAGCTGCATAATAATTATCAACGATAAAAGATCGCCTCCCTTCTAACTCAATGTTAACCCCGTCTTAAGTACATCAAAGTGAAATTTTGGTTTCTTTCTTCTTCTTACATCTTTTTTGTATGTGGTCACTTCGCATCTCTTGATTGCCTCTGAATCAAAATTTTTAAACTCTTTTTCGTCACGCAACGTATTAAGACAAGCAATGTCTCATAAAGAATCAGATAAACTACTAACGATTTGAAACTTTACGAGCACAGAGTTCCAAAAGCACAACATTATTGCAATTTCAAGAGTTTGATTTTTTTCTAAAACTGCTTTGTCTTCTATTTTGGTCCCTTTACTTTGATTTTTATCGAGTTTTTGACAGAATTTTTAGTACCGTAGGTTCTTCATCTAATTTGGATACTAAAATTTGCCCAGGGGATGATGCTAGCGAAGACACGATTTCAGCGCGCCCGCCCAAGGCTGCAGCCTAATTAGTCGTCTAAGGGTTAATCAGGCCCTGCGCTCGGGTTCATTCATCATTTTAAAAATTAAATCATTAGTTTTTTTTCTCTTACTACACTTACTGGACATTTAATAAATGCACTCAACTTAGTCTGCTGCGAATTGGTTTCATTTGTTTTAATTACAGGATTAGTAGATTCTGTACTTACTGAAGTTGATGGTATAGGAGCTTCAAGAGCTGCTGCATCTGACACGGAGCATGGAATGATGCTTTCATCGGTTGATCTGTATTTTTTCATGAGATGCTTTTTCAAATTTGTAGAACTTCCTTTCACTGAATGCGATCAGCCAATGTTTCTATACACACATCAATAGTACTTGCGTAAACTGAAACATGTAGATACTCATACTACGAAAAATGCGAGTAACGAAATGTATTTGTGTGTAACGTTTCGTTATGGGTCTGCGAGACGATCAAGTGCACTTGACAAGTCTACGTGATTGACGATTTCACTTGACGAGGGACTTGACGCGACTTGAAGGTGCCGTCAAGTCCACATCCCGCAGTCGTTCACCGCCCTGTGCTCAGGAAAGTGGCCGTCGTAATGGGTCCGCGAGACGATCAAGTGCACTTGACAAGTCTACGTGCTTGACGATTTCACTTGACGAGGGACTTGACGCGACTTGAAGGTGCCGTCAAGTCCACATGCCGCAGTCGTTCACCGCCCTGTGCTCAGGAAAGTGGCCATCGTAATAATGGTTTCCAACGCAGACAAGGCATTCCTTGCTATAACTCTAGCGGTATCTATCACAGAAAAAGAGAAAAGAAAGAGGCGATGGTGTAAGGAATGGTATAAAATGAGATATCGATTCACGCATGAACATTTGCAAAGAACTCTTCAAGCAACTGAGCCCGACGATTATAAAAATTTTCTACGAATGGACAACGATTCTTTTGAAACATTGTTGGAGTTGATTCGACCCAATATTGAAAAGCAAGATACCAATATGCGACAAGCTATTCCTGCCAGCCAAAGGCTCTCTATAACTCTAAGGTACTTGGTCACTGGTATGGACTTGGAAGATTTAAAGTTTATGTGTGCTGTCGCTCCTCGTACTTTGGATTTAATAATACAGGAGACGTGTGAGGCTATAATTCAAAAGTTAAAAGAAAATATTCGGGTATGTATCATATTCATTTATTTTCATTTATCTTAACCAAAATAATCATAACAAAAATTAAATACTTAATGTGATGGTGAAATTAAAAAGAATAGAAGTGTTGTAAGAACTTAGCCGCAGTCTGTGATTCTTCTTCTTGAGTAGCTGGTTCTGGTATATAAATTACGGGGTGTTCACGAGATAGAATTGGCACTTGCATAGGTTGAGATGATTTGGTATCATGCACCGGTGTCTTGCCTATGACTTGTGAGTGTGACTGATGTGGTGATGGTGACTGGTATGTCAAGGTTGAGTGGTGTACAGTTGGTGATGGCACAGGTGATGGTGACTGATGTGGTGCGGGTGACTGGTTTGTCAAAGTTGAGTGGTGTACATTTGGTGATGGCACAGGTGATGGTGACTGATATGGTGCGGGTGTCTGGGTTGTCAAAGTTGAGTGGTGCCCACTTGGTGATGGTGACTGGTATTTAAAGGTTGAGTGGTGTACATTTGGTGATGGCACAGGTGATAGTGACTGATACGGTGATGGTGACTGGTATGTCGTAGTTGAGTGGAGAGCATTTGGTGATAGCACAGGTGATGGTGACTGATGTGATGCGGGTGACTGGTATAAGTATGTGTATGTGGGCGAGCTAGCAGGCAAGATCTGAACTCCGTTTCTTGACAGTGATCCCATTTCGGCTTCAAATAAAATGTCATTTATTATTTTCTCCGCATAGCGTCTTTGATCTGGTGATAAACGTTTGAGTTTAAGAGCCCAGCCCTTCGCAATAATATCCGATTCAGAGTCATCAGGTTTTTTGAAATAATGTGATGCTATATCTATCAGGTCCTGCTGTGATGTGTTTTTGCTTTTCTTTGATTGTGACATCTCTTTTTGATAATTGGATGACAAGGAAAACTGTAAAAAAATAACCTATGTTTGTACTATTCACAGGTACCGAGAACGATCGAGGACTGGAAAAAAGTAGCCAAAGATTTCGAGAGACGATGGAACTTTCCCAACTGTATAGGTGCTGTTGATGGCAAGCACATCGAAATAGAAAAACCTTCAAATTCGGGATCTTACTATTTTAACTATAAAAAGACATTTAGTATTGTTCTCATGGCTATTGTAAACGCCAATTATCAATTTATGATGGTTGATGTTGGTGCAAATGGGCGGATGTCAGATGGTGGAACTTTAAAAAATACAAAGTTTTGGCAATTGTTTTCTGAAAGTGAAAACAAACTTAATATTCCGGAGCCATGTGAGTTACTAGAAAGCGATAAAAAGTTTCCGTTTGTACTGGTAGGTGACGAAGCTTTCCAACTGACTCCAAACTTCATGAAGCCATACAACAAAGCCGTCTTGACAGACGAAAGACGGATTTTCAACTATAGATTGTCAAGAGCCAGGAGGGTGGTTGAAAATGCTTTTGGCATCCTGTCTTGGCGCTTCAAAATATTTAAAAAAGACATTGGACTGCATCCCGATAAAACGCGAAAAGTTGTTTTGGCTGCCTGTCACTTACACAACTATTTGTGTGAAAAAAATAAAAACAAATATATTCAACCAGGAGATATTGACATTGAAGAACCAAATACCACAGTCACAAAAGGTGCGTGGAGACAAGGACGGCAATTGTTAAATATAGAGCGAGTACGAGGAAACTCGGCAAATGAGGCAAAAAGAGTGCGAGATGACTTTTGCGAGTACTTTAATGGTAACGGTTCAGTCCCTTGGCAAAATAATTGCCTAATTTAGTTGTTTAAAAACATACTTTAAAGTAAAATGTATCTTTGAATTGTAAATAAAAAATGTTTTACCTCACTGCTTAAACTGCTTTCAGTATCACTTATACACATTTGGTCTGACAGAAATAACAGTTCATTGTAATAGTAGAGTGACGGTTTTGGTACATCATCGGGAGACACGCCAGACCGTTGTGCTTGTTCAATCTTTTTTCTTTCTTTGTTGAAGTTGGTTCTTAAAGCATTAATTTTTTTCTTCAATAAATCTTCGGTGTAGGCAGGTTTATATACTCGAAGTGCTTTGACTATGCTTGATAAAGCAAGCGACCTTTTGTTTTTATCCGCATACTCCTTACTTTTAATTTTCCACAATGCAGGATAATCTCTGTAGAGAGATATTAATAATAACACAAAATCACGCTCGGTAATTAGGTCGGCGCTTGCCGCCAAAGCCACGTCTCGGTCCGGTTCGTCGTCCGCCATCTTCGATGTTCCGGCCGCAAATGAATAAAACTTGTCAAGTCGCGTCAAGTCGCATCAAGCGCAAGGTGGTACAAGTGCCGTCAATCAAATTTTTTGTCAAGTATGATCCAGCCCGTAGATACTTGACGGGACTTGTCAAGTCAACGCTGTAAACGATAAATATTCACTTCAAGCACGTAGAATTGTCAAGTGCACTTGATCGTCTCGCGGACCCATTATAATGGTTTCTCTACTAAACTCTAGCGGTATCACAGAAAAAGAGAAAAGATAGAGGCGATGGTGTAAGGAATGGTATAAAATGAGATATCGATTCACGCATGAACATTTGCAAAGAACTCGTCAAGCAACTGAGCCCGACGATTATGAAAATTTTCTACGAATGGACAACGATTCTTTTGAAACATTGTTGGAGTTGATTCGACCCAATATTGAAAAGCAAGATACCAATATGCGACAAGCATTCTTCATTTATTTTCATTTAACTTAACCAAAATAATCATAACAAAAATTAAATACTTAGGCAGTTGTCCCACCAACGACGAGAAAACGACTAACTATCGGCTATTTTCTCGCTCAAGAAACGTACAATAGATATACTTTCTGTGTGAACAAAAGAGATGCATATACAAACAGTTGATCGCTGACTGTTCACACTGCCGGCGAGCACTCGCTTCACTAGTTTGTCGCTGAGCGACAAGAGCTATGAAAGGTAACACTCGCTCGGCGATACTCGCCAAGCGATTAGAACTCACGCCGAACCACCGCCAACCAGTGGTCATTTCTCTACAGTGCGTATCTGAAAGTACACGTTTTTTTTTAATTTAATATGAATATCTAGTTCAGACGACGATGATGATGAATTCTATGATAGGATTTGTGTAGTGGCTGCGGCAATTCTGAATAAACGTAAGGAAAAAATGAAGAAAAAAAGAAGAATATGGATGGAAAATATTAATTATTTCAGAAAAGAATGCAGTGAATTCAAACTATTCTATGAATTAACAAATCATGGCTTTCGAACATATTTTAGAATGACAAGAGACGAGTTTGAATATTTGCATAGTTTAATAGATGACATTAAAAAAGAAAATACAAATTATAGAGAAGCTATTGGTACAAAAGAGCGTCTCGTCATTACATTAAGGTAAGGCTCCATCGCTTGGAGTGATTTCAGCGGCAGACATTGAATCTTGGATCTCTTCGTTTTGGCTACGAGTAGTATGTTCTCCAATTCCAATTTGCTGCACACCAGAACCGCTGGGTTCAGGTGAGGCAGAACCGTGTCCAGAAGAAAAATTTGTCTGACTCGTAGAAGGGCGAGAGTAGTAAGAATAATCGTTTGAGTAGTAACCGGTATATGAATAGTTTGTATTAGCAATATTGTCTTCAGCATCCATTACCAATTGAAACAACTTTCTTTTTATTGTTCTTTGATAATACTCCGGCATCTGCTTTGTACTATGATACATTGAATCAAAAAAAGCTTTTAAAGGATCACTTGATGTTAGTACTTCTTTACGTAACTCATCCCTCTGCGCAGTTCGTTTTGCTCGATTATCATCCATATCTTTTAAAAAATTTAACAAATCTTCGTCATTATGAATTATTTCATCCGTCTTCCTATTTTTTGGAGCTGTTATCGTATCTGCTGAATCTCTACTAACATCTGTAATAGATGTTTCCTCGAAACTTGTCGAAATATCAGGATGTGGTGTAACATTTGTATCTCGTTCCGCATTTGTCATATATGGAAGCAAAAATTCCATGTGACTCATGTACTTCCAGGGTTTTATTTGTTTTTGTGACTGTCCACTTGTTGTCTTCTTGATTTTTTTTAATTTTTCACGGTGCGTGTCTCGCAAATTTTTCCATTTTAACTTTGCCTGTGTAACTGTAAATAAAACAAATAATTATAACACACCAGATCAAAATTAATTTTATGTTATTAACTAATATTATTTGGTATTTTTATTTATTTTCAGATATCTTATAACCGGAACTACATATTCAGCATTGTCAAAAAGCTATAGAATAGGCCGTTCTACGCTCTCCGAAATAATACCAGTAGTATGTGAATCTTTATGGATCAAGTTGCAGCCAAAAGTAATGAAGCTCCCTACTGAACCCGAATGGAAAGTTATAGCAAAAGACTTTTATGATTTGTGGAATTTCAATAATTGCCTTGGTGCAATTGATGGCAAGCACGTGGTAATTTTTTCGCCCCGTAAATCGGGATCACAGTACTTTAACTACAAAAAAACATTTTCGATTGTATTGTTAGCAATTGCTGACGCTCATGGAAGATTTATAATGATCGATGTTGGATCAATGGGCAGATACAGTGACAGCGGAATATTCTCAGATAGTAATTTCTACAATGTGTTGCAAAACAATGGATTGAGATTACCCGCAGATGAACCCCTATATGAAGGAGGTTTGCCTCAGCCTTATGTTTTTATTGGTGACTGTGCATTTCCGTTGATGACACATTTATTAAAACCATATCCTGATCATGAAAGGTTGGATAAAGACCAGTTAATATTTAATTATAGACTGAGCAGAGCACGCCGAATGGTAGAAAGTGCGTTTGGTATGTTGGTGCACAAATGGCGTATCTTTTTTAGGCCATTAGATGTTAAAATAAGTACCGCCAAAAAAATTGTTAAGGCTGCGTGCGTTCTACATAACTATGTATTACAGAATGAAATCGAAAAGGCGCCTTCACAGTCAGTTTTTTCTGATAATATGTCAAGAAATTACTCCGAGGTATCTGAACAAAACTCAGCAGATTTTGAAGACGGCTTTTTTGTGAAAGAATATTTCATGGAATATTTTAATTCCGTTGGAACAGTTTCGTGGCAAAATAACCGTGTGCAAAATGTATTAGATTCTGATAGGATAACACATAACTTACATTAGACTCTGCAAAATGAATATTGATTTAACTATATGTATATGTTGTGTTAGATGTATGTTAATTGTGTGTAGGCTGCGTCCTTCACGTCTAATTGTTTATATGAAATCAGTTTTGTGTCCCAAAGACACGGATATTGTCGGACACATTCAATAAAAAACTCATCCATTTTTATTGGAAAATTGGGAACACGTGTATCGCGTATGAGGCCGCAAGACTGACTGGTGACTGTATGCTTGACTGCCGCGAGCGAGTGATGCGAGTAATCGCCCGCCTCACTCGCACACTCGCTTATAGCCGAGCTACACAAATATCGGAACTACGCACTCGCTCCCCGCGTCTCGCTAACTCGTTTCTAGTTCTAGCTCTACTCGTTACTCGTTAATCGTTGCCGGTGAGACAAGTGCCTTAATGTGATGGTGAAATATGAGACAGACAAAACAGAAAACTTTTTATTGGTTTCTTTTATTTTATCTTGTATGGCTCGGTTGTGCAACCGATTCATACCCAAAAAGTTTTCAGTTTGGTCTATAAAAGTTATTAAAAAGAATAGAAGTGTTGTAAGAACTTAGCCACAGTCTGCAATTCTTCTTCTTGAGTAGCTGGTTCTGGTATATGAATTACGGGGCGTTCATGAGATAGAATTGGCGCCTGCGTAGCACGGATGGTCAGTTTTTCACTGTGACGGCTCAGAAAACTGGTGACCCATTTGTCACCTGGTAGTTTTCCATTAAAAATGTCATCTCTTCCATTTTTATTTAAATAATTGTGCACTATGATACGCAGATTAAGCTTTGTAAGAGGGCTCCCAAAATCAGCAGAAGCTATTAATAAATTTATCAGTCTATCTTCTTCCGTCTGCGTTAGTCTCGTTGGGGATCCAACGGCTTTTATGTGAAAACTTTTAACTTTGTTTATAATTGTGCGCCTTGGTATACCGAATTTTTTCTCAGCATCCCTCGACGTAACTTTTTTATTGGCCACAGATTCAACTGCTAATTCCAACATTTCTGTCGTATGGTTTCTGTATGGCCGAGCTCCTAATTTTCTGCGGGGTTTCCGAATTTTAATACGGGGTTTAAGCCTACCCATCCTGTAACAACGTAAAAAAAATTGAAGGTAATCGGTCCAATACCTATTATCAAAGAAGTTCAAAATGGCGGCCATATTTTTCAAATTTAAGAAAACATTCCGTGTATATAAGACGTTAGACATTTTGAGAAGAGGACATTATGAGATGAGAGAATATTAGTATGTATTGCTCGTATGGTAGTATTATACATTTAGGTATTGATTAGCTGTTTACACCAAAGGGTTTGGGCTGTGCATTAATAGGTGCCTCTAGATAATTATTTATTAATATACAAGTAAAAAAGAACAGGTTGACAACCCTAGCACTCAATAATCGGTGGGCAATGTTGGGACTGTTGATGTTCTGCTGTATAACCTAACATTGCCCAACACCATAATTTGAAATCTAATAGCCGTTTCGGTTCCGAAATCGCCACGTGAACATCATTTTACATGCCCTTTTATTTACTGATTGTCATACTCACGTCAGTCAAATTGCTTACGCCCTGCTGATGAAGTTTTTGAGCAAAATATTTGCACCACGTTTTCACCACGTCGTTAAAACAACACTTGCTGGCTTACTAAAAGAGGTTAGAATGTTTTGACACATCGGTATTGCCAGTAGATATTATCAAAAATCATACCACAGAGAGAAAAAAACAATTAAATCGACACTTTTTTATGGAAATCGATTTTAAGTTATTTTTCCTCTGTGGGCAAAGAGGAAGGAGGGGGAATGTTGGAGGGTTTCACAGTAACTGTAATTCTTCTTCATCTAGGTTAAATAAAACATTCTTGTAGTATACCAAATAAGGTAACTCCTTCCAGTCTTCACTATAATGCTTTTGTAGTAGATTTCTCACATCTCTGAGCTTTAGTGGTTTTACATCTATTCCTTTTGAAATTGTAGACAAATAGTCCTGGGAGCACCTGTTTCAGAATTATAAAACAATTCACCACGAATCATAACATCTCCCTGCTTTTTGGTCCGTCGAATAATGATACGCTTGCACTGCGATATCTTAAAATGGAGCTGGGCTGGTGTTTTGACTATGTTCTGAATAGAAGTTTTCCAGTCCAGCACATCTATCTCATCAAGTTTTGTGACAGTTGCACATTCGCTAATAATATCTGTATATTCTGAAGGCTGTGTTATCACTTACAAGTTTGCGAATTCTTTTTTCTATATTCCCGAACACACGATCCGCAGGCATAAAAGAGTGTCCAGTGACTTATTTTATTATTTAATATTTTTTTTTAATTTAAATATAAATTAATTAAAAAAACTAAAAATAAATAATTTAATTTACTTATTTATAGGATTTACGGTATTGATCCCGAATATTATTCCACCGCGATTTGCACACCGTTGCTGGAAAGATAATAAAACAGATAATTTAACATTTTTGTTTATTACAGATTCCTGACTACAGATTTTTTTTTTATAATAAGAATAATTTTTATTTTCTCCCCTATAACATTTACAACAAACAATAAGATAACAGTTGAGAAGGCATTGGGAGAATGGTTTCCAAACTAGGCAAGAACCTGTGATATGGATAACCAGGCTTCCAGTCCACAGCAAAGTCATATTGAGTGTTTACAAAAAGTACATACATAATATATGGGTAGGCAAACAAATTTAATGTTTTAATTCAAGAAAGAAAAACAATACAGTCAACTAATTAGAAGTTAGCACAAATAAAGTTGTATGGGCGTATGTGAGGGTGTGTGTGTGTGTGTGTGTGTATGTGAGTGTGTATGTTGATAGTGGGAGAGGGTATGTGTCAGGCACACGCCTGAGAACATAATATATGAAAATTATTTTAATATATCTAGCAGGTTTTCCGTTTGGTCATAGTTCAAACTAAGTAAAAATTTATGAACTACATATTTGCTTTACACATTTTTTAGTTTTAGGATATATATTTAGAGTTTTGTTAAGTTTATTATACAAGTAACAGCCCAGAAAAGAGAACGATCGCTGAGAAAAATTAGAATAAAATGGGGTTGTACAAACGCTATATTTGCGACGTTTGTCCAATACAGCGGTATCGAAGAATAACAGCGAATGTTGCTTAAGAACAGTGTATAAGATAAACAGCTGTCGAACTGTAAGTACAGAACTGATTTTATAAAGTTCCGCAGTAGGGAACCGAAAGGCAAGAGACAATGAGGTTTTAAGATTCATTTAAAACAATTGCGTTCAGCTATCGATTGGAGTTTAGTACTGTGCAAGAAATTGTAACGAAAACTTGTAAATGTATAATTGACACAATGATGAGTGAAATGCTACCTAGGCCAACTTATGAGACGTGGAAATCAATAGCGGACGACTTCAATACACTTTGGAATTTTCCAAATTGCATCGGAGCTCTTGATGGAAAACATTTTAACATCCAATCCGCCTAACAGTGGATCACTATACTTCAACTATAAAAAAACATTCTCAGTTGTGCTTATGGCGTTAGTTGATGCCAATTATAATTTTACAATTGTCAATGTTGGTTCTTATGGAAAGAATAGTGATGGAGGAATTTTTGCTAACTCTAATCTGGGAAAAGAACTTCAAAGAAAAAACTTGTCTTTGCCTGCTTCGTATCGACCAGGCAGTTCAACAGCTCCTTATGTTCTTGTAGGAGATGAAGCTTTCCCTCTCAAAACTTATTTAATGCGACCGTATCCAGGGACCAATTTGAGCACCGATAAGCGAATTTTCAACTATCGTTTATCTCGTGCAAGGAGGGTAGTAGAAAACACATTTGGACAGTTGACATCAAAATTCCGAATTTGTAATAGACGCATTCATGCTTTACCAAAAAATTTTGATAATATAATACTTTCTATGTGTATTCTTCATAATTTTATTAAAAAATATGACAAAGAAACAAATTTGTTTGCAGAAGTTGCAACTCTTGCAGCATACGACGATTTACCAGCTGTCGGTTTAAATGCTTCAATAGAGGCTTTTTATGTAAGCGATACGTTCAAATCTTATTTTATTTCTCCAGCTGGCGCAGTGCCTTGGCAAAACAATAGAATTTAAGTTGTTGTCCCTCAATAAAAGTGAAAAAAAAACAACTATTTCATACAAAGTGGTAAATAACGGATCAAAATGTATGAAATAGCTGTTTTTTTTTTCGGGAACCCCTGAAATAAACAATAAGAACCTACATATATGTCTACAGAATACAAAACATATCATAAAAATGTTTAAAACTTACCTTCACACTTTAATTCTTTTCCTATATTATCCCATATGATATTTTTCTTCTTAGAATTCAAAAAATGTGGATTAGAAAGATCGTAAAGTATAGCATTCTGCCGTGCAAGTTCTATCAACCTTTCTGCGTTCATGTTGCACTTGCAGATAAATCGTCAACTTTAACAAAAATCGGATAGCACTGTCAGATCGTCCGTGCGTGCTCCGGGACACTGACGCCTGACACGGAGCTGTGTGAACAAGTTCATACAATTTGTACGTAACCAATTTTTTGCCCGTCCCTGACGGAACACGGTCGAGGCGAGTTTCTGGAAATGTGTGGATAAAGGATGATTCACGGTACACCGTGTCGCGACCGGGCCGGGCCTCGGACGGGACACGTCCACCGTGCGCCGGCCTGGACAGTGATTCATGTTTGGGTGTACGCACGTACGTACGTACTTATGTTGTTTCTCAAATAAATATTAGTTTAGGAAATAAAACTATCAAAATATTACTAATTTTCTTCAATTTCTTCTCTATTGTTGGAATTTCTCTAGGTCGTGGTGCTTTTCAAGATATTATCGAAATGATAATCCTTCTCATATCTGTCAATTAAATATTCATAACTATTGACACCATGCACCCCACGCTTTTTTTACAATAAAAGATTTTTTTTCTTATTCAAACTATTAATAACTTATATTTATTAAAATTTATTTTCTGTTTTTTAGTTTAGTTTTCTATATACAGCGTGTGTTCTAGTTTTTTAAAACTATTATTTATTTTTTATTTAAATTTTTTTTTCTTTTCGGATTATTGCATTGTCATCGATCTTTGACAGGTGCGCAAAGTTTGAATTAAATCTGTCCGTTAAAAGTGGGTCAAAATCGAGTCCAAAGGAGTCGGTTACATACATACATACAGGTGAAGCTAATATAAGCGTGTTAAAAAAATGGATGTGTTCCACATCTTTGAATGATGCCTGGTTTGTAATATAATCTAAGATGAAAGATGTGAGATCAATAGGCCCTTTTCTTGCGGTGCCCTCATGATAAACATAAAATGCAGCAGTATTGTCTTTCAGGTTGTAAACACAGAGCACACTGACTGTAAGCTGCCTTCAGTAAAATGTTTCTTGAACTGGAATTTGGGGCATTTGAAGATTTTGCATGTAATCAATAACAATACCTCCCACTTTAGGATCTTCCTGGCATAATTTGGTTAGTGCTGACAGTTTATCATAAAACTTCTTTGCTCTTCGTACATGCACAAGTTTTTCTGCTGTAGCTACACGCTTAGCATTGTCATTTAAACACTTGCTTTTTATTTTTACTTTAACTCTTCGCATTGACAACAAGTGTTAACTTGGGGGCGGCCAAAGGAAAGATTAAAGTGTTCCTTGAATATTTTTAAATAAAATTTGTATTTTACATTATTATTGGGATTGGCAGAGCAAAATAATTTGTGCATAATAAGCACATTCAGTTTCTCACTCAAATAATGATATTCTCTAGTGGTGTAGTGTGCTATTTTAGTAGGAAATGAAGATATGTGTTCCTTAATTTTATCTAGAATAACTCCAGAAATAGCATTACCAGGTATTTGCTTACCACGCGTCTGATAACAACTTATTCAACCAACGAATACGCTCTTGAGTTACAGCAAAAGTACTTATGAATGCTTTCTTACAAATAATGTACTTTCCGGATTGTGTTGAAACACTAAAGATATATTATGAATTTGATCTGTTTGGTCTTGATGAATCTGGTACTCTCCTGCGTCTTTGCTTTATTTATTGAATACTGATCAAACTCTGCAGGTAAATATCCTGTTCATTTTTAGTATTTGAGCTACTAAAATTACAGAATAGTTGAAGGCGTTCATCATCATTAACACGTTGAAGACATAGTTTTTTGCAACTGAAAAAATGAAGGTGTAGGTTAATAATATACAACAAAATTTCGTATTTTCATACATTGAAACCGTTAAACATTATGGTGATATTAACTTAAAACAAAAAAAAATTCAAAATGCCTCCACTTAATTCCAACTATAGGAAAAATACATTCATGATTCGAAGTGTACAGACCTACAACCAATATTCAACCCAGTTTGACATCGATCTTTTCTGTTCTTCCATTGACTCTGTGAGACGCACACTCACATCCAGCTATTTCCATTAGAATAGTCATACTTAATTTTTTATTTACTTTTTTTTTTTTTTTTAATGGAGCGCATCGTGCAATCAGTCTTCTGACTATGAGCAGATGAGTTGTAGGATGGTTTGCGGGTGGAGATATTCCTCATTAGGAATATCTACCATAATAATATTAGCTCAGTCAATGCTGCTGAGCTCCAAGGTTCTTCGTCTTTTGAGTCGGTTTATATACTCCGGTAGGGTGAGTTGAACAGCTAGGTGGTTAGGATGATATTCCAGCCTAGTCTTGTACTTCTGAGCGTATACTTTTATTTCCTCCTTGACTGTAAGTATGCCTAGGTGTTCATGTTCTTCAGCGTTTCTTATGAACCAAGGCGAGTTGCTTATTTGTTTAAGGATGTAGTTTTGTGTTCTTTGGATTTTAGTTTTGTTAGAGTCACATGTAGCTCCCCACAATTGTATCCCGTAGGTCCACACGGGTTTTATAACAGACTTGTAGATAAGGAGTTTGTTGTCGATGGACAATTTCGAGTTTCTACCCAGTACAGCCTCTTATATTTAATGTTGATCTCACGCCGTTTTGTTTCGATGTGTTTTTGCCATGTCAATCTACGGTCCAAGTGCAGTCCAAGATATTTAACTGTGTCACTCTGAGGCAGTTCCTTTCCTCCTAGGCTTACAGGGGGGCGTGTCTTTCTTCGCAGTGTGAATGTCACCTGTACTGATTTGCTAGTGTTCACCCTAATTCTCCACCTATCGAACCAGTTTCTTATTTCATCTAGGCTTCGCTGCAGCTTTAACGTGGCTTCTTCGGGTTGTTTACTTGAAGCTAGGATTGCCGTATCGTCTGCATAGGTTGCAATGTTGACTTCAGAGGTACGCGGTAGATCTGAGGTATATATGGTGTACAGCACTGGGCCAAGTACAGAGCCTTGAGGTACCCCTGCAAGTATATCATGAAAACCTGATGTACAATCCATCTCTTTCACTTGGAATATTCTATCGGTGATATAAGACTCTAGGATTCCATAGAAAGTATGAGGCAGAAGTGACTTGATCTTGCATAAGAGCCCCTTGTGCCATACGCGATCGAATGCTTGTTGAACGTCCAGAAAAGCTGAGGAGCAGTACTCTTTTAGCTCAAGGCTATTGCTTATGAATTTACACACCCTGTGAGTTTGTTCGATAGTGCCGTGTTGTGCTCTAAACCCGAATTGGTGATCTGGAATTATAGAATTTTCATGAATAGCTTGCGAGAGCCGTCGTAGTAGTACCTTCTCCAGTACTTTAGAGACGATCGGGAGAAGACTTATAGGTCGGTAAGATGAGACGTCATGTGGCGATTTCCCGGGCTTATGGACCATAATCACCTGAGAGACCTTCCATAGCGCTGGAAAGTATCCAACACTTAAAATCTGGTTGAATAGGGTCGTCAAGTAAGTTATAGCCTTACGAGGTAATTCGGAGAGAACCTTTTTGTCAATGAGGTCAAAACCTGGTGCCTTCCTATTCTCCATTTGTTGTATGGTTCTTTGTACCTCCCTTGGTGTTACTATCTTCAAGGGCAAATGCAATTGGAAATCCTGGTGGAGAATGTCATCTATTTCTGCCTCATCCGACCCAGGAGTGGCTTCATTTGGAACAAATACTTTAGCCAGATGGTCAGCAAAAGCATTTGCTTTTTCTAGTTTAGATCTAGCCCACTTGTTTCTATCTAGTCTTATAGGTGGTTTAGGGTTTGTGGGTTGATTCAGATTTTTGCATGCCTTCCAGAGAGAGTAGTCGGTGTCTGTTGTAGCTGTTAACGACATTAGGTTTTCCTCAATAGTAGCATCTAGATTTTCTTTTATAGCCTGTTTAAGGTGTTTAGCGTAGATGTTTAGTGCTGTTTTATCATCGGGATGACGACTATTGTGCCACACTCTACGTAATCTTCTCTTCTCCAGGATCATGTCATGAATTTCGTGGGGTACAGAAAGCTGTCTGGTCTTTTTCTGAGCCATTCCCTCAGAACTCCTCCAGCATGCGTCCTGCACCACTCTCGTAAATGCCAAGACTGCACTATCTATTTCCTCCTTACTCTTTAGTGAAATCCGTAATTGTAGGGCGTCCTCTACGAGGTCACGAAACATTTGCCAATTTGTTCTCCTGTTATACAGTTTTGGTTTCCGTTGGCACTCCAGAATGTTGGTACTAATAGTTAAGATCACCGGGATGTGAGCTGAAGAACCATCGAGAAAGCCATCAATGTGATAAAACAGTCGTGAGAGACCCTTCATTAAAAAGAAGTCCAGGACATCAGGCAATCTTCCAGGGTCGCTTGGCCAGTGAGTTGGCTCGGGGGTGGAGATTGTTGTTAAGTGGTTTTTATCAACGCATTTTTTAAGTTCTCTACCACGCGTGGTAATCAATCTCGACCCCCAGTGCAGATGCTTTGAATTCCAATCTCCACCTGCTATGAAGCGTGGACCCAGACTGTTAATATATGTGGTGAAGTGTTCCTCAGTTATAACGTGCTTTGGAGGACAATAAACCGAGGAGATACAGAAATTCCCATTTTCATCCTGGATATTTATTGAGGTGGCTTGAATGGATTCCGATCGAAATTGTGGAAGTTCATAGTGTTCAATGGAGGATCTAATTATAATAGCTGTGCCTCCATGTGCAGTGCCATCGGGATGATTTGTTGTGTACACATTGTAGTTTTGTACATGTATTTGGCTGTTGGATGTAAGGTGCGCCTCAGAAATAAGCAAGGCATCCAGATTATGCATTTTTAGCAGGATTTCAGCTTCATTTTTCTTAGGCGATAGACCATCTATGTTCCATGTAGCAATTTTGAGTTTATTCATTTTTATGGTAATTTGTTAACTAGTGTAGTCAAGAGCCCCAGAATGGTGCTCATTTGTTGTAGGATTGTATCAATTTTTTGTGATTGTTTTATAAATATTTCCTCAATTCTATTATTCAGTGATTGTTGACTGGCTTCTGGTACAGATTGTTGGCTTGTACCTTGGACTAAATGATTACTTTTAGCCACTTCATTATATCTCTTAGGCGTATTTATTGTGGGTGGGTTCGGGGGTTGGTTTGTAGGTTGGGGGTTTGGGCTTATACCACTATTGGGAGAGCTTGACGTAGGAGCTTTTCTTGCGCTTAGAGACGAGCGCTGTGTTTTTCTGGCTAGAATTTCTTTATATACCTCGCAACCTTTATAATTCGCAGGGTGAGGGCCGAGACATAGGGCACATTTTGCTGGGGTACTGCGGTCCACTTTAGGACAATCTTTGGTTAAGTGTGATTCTGCGCATTTGAGGCATCGACCTGGTCTCATGCAGTAGTTTTTGGTGTGCCCATACTGCTGGCATCTTTGACACTGTACTATAGTGGTCCTCTTTTTTGGTCTTCTATAGTAACAATTTGGTGGAAAATATGTCTGATTTCCTTGGCTGCTTTATTATGCTGACTAGGTTGCAGGTTTACAAAGAAAGTTGAGGTAGGTTTTTTATCAGGCCCAAATCTGGCATTGATAATCTCTCCAACTACTATGTTTCCCGTTTTCTCAAATTCAGCTTTTATAACATCAAGTGGAGTAGTGTGGTGCAAGTTTCTTACTACCAGTCTGTAGTTTCTGTCTTCTTTTCGATTGAATGTATGGCCAATGAGACCCTTCTCTCTTACAGCTGTAATAAGTTTTTTGTAAACATCTATGTCTTCACTCATAATTCTTATTTGTGTTTTGTTTACTATCTTAAACTTGAATGTGGTTCTTTCAGTTGCAGATTCGAGAAATTCCGTCAGTTTATTGACATCTTGGACTCCATATAGTATGATTGGAGGTGGATTGCTGGGCTTCTTTCCTTTGGTTTGGGTAGGTTCTTCAACGAGAGTTAGTCCATCGAACATGTTCGAAGTAGCTACACTTTCGGGGGACTGATTTGAGAGTTTCCTTTTTTTATTCGGCTTTCTATTTACTGGAGCCGTTTGCCATTCAGGCAAGTTGGTGTCGCAGGTTACTTCTTGAGAGCTTTGTGGTTCCTTCTCCTCATTTCTGGTAGGCAGTAAACTCCCAACCGATACACTTCTCTGTCTTATAAACAGGCTTGGATGGAAGGCTTGTTGTACATATTTCTTACTTTGACCAGTAGCATTCACTGTCACGGGGGCCTGGGTACCCACCCTCGTGGAGTCTTCGGTAGCCAATTTCACACTTTCAGCTACCTCCATTCTGCATCTTGATGAATTAAACTAGTTAATATTCATTTTAATTAAGAATGCAAAATTTGCGGGTAGATTCAAAAGTGTTCACTTTAATGTTCGACTAAGATCTTGCGTTTAGACGTATAACAATAGATTATTTCAATAACTTAATAACGAACTCGTAGTGTACAATCACTGATTACAAGATTATGAGCAATCACACACGCAATTCTATTATAAAAGTTTATTGTTGACCAACGCGACGCGACGTTGTTCGCGCGAGTTGTAATTTTTTATTTACTAAAGTTCTTTAATTGTTACATAGTATTATTTATAATACTCATATTATTCATAAATGTTAATTTTATTCCTCCTATCTCCTTAAGGTATTTATGGATTATATAGGTGGAGATTTGTAATTAGTACTGACTTTATTTTATTGTAATCATAATTTACCTTCTGTTAAAATACTGTAAATCTTCTTACAATGCAATAAATAAACTAACCTGCAATCGGAATCGGGTATCTTTCCAGGTATTAGATTCCCTTTCCAGTTTTTATATGGATTTCCTTTTAAGCGCGCCTTTTTGATAATCTCACTCTTATAATCTTCTTTATTCACACAATTTTTACGCCTCCTAGGTATTTTTATGTTTTCATCAGCTTCTGTAGACATTTTGTTATTATTTGATAGCTTTTTGCGATAGTATTTAACCAGTTTTCATATAAATTATGAGCGAGATCGTTATTTTATCTGAATAATAGAGGTTATTTTTTTCCAAAGCAGACTGCTGGCTGTCAGTATTGTCTGTCACTGTCACTCACTTTTTTTTATTGATTGATTGATGCGTTCCGTGAAAAAATAACATAGACTTGTGTGATTTCTCTATGAAAGGGCTGAGTCGACCGCACTTTGCACTAAATAAAAGAGTCTGGTGTGGTTTCTCCAAGGAAAAATATGCGTCTTTAAAAATGAGAACCGAATATAAAAAAACAAGTAACCGCCAAAAACCTGACTTATGGGGTTTCTCAAATGACTGATTCATTTGTGTGTAACGTTTCGTTACTCGGTACTAGACGGCGCACTCGTTAGTCGATACTCAGTACCGAATACATACGGTTTGCTAAGCATTTATGCTACAGCTCTAGTTGGCAACACTGAGTCGGGCTCGGGCGTCGCCCGCGTCGGCCTTCATGATTCATTGCGCAATGTGTGGACTGGACTATGAAGAATCTTTTTAAAGTTAACTTTTAATGTATAAATTATGTGTTTTAAGGTGAAGGTGCAAACTGCAGCATCAGGAACATAAGTATTCTCTCTCCTTTGCTCAGATTAAACTCATGAATCATACTTATTTTTGCAATATTGTATGTGGTTGGTTAGTTTTGTAATTTCCTTCATATAACAAACTATCTCAATATTGCAAGATACCTGAATGTCTTTTGTTTTTATATTGAGAAGTACCTGATTTGTGGTAAATTAATTGATTCCATTCGATTATGATTCAAATGTCTGAAACTTTTGTTTTCATTAGTAATTCTTTGTAGATTGTGAGAAAAGTTATTCATTTTTTTGTAAAAATTGTCAAAACAAGTTCAGTCTAGTGAAGTTCTTAAATGATTGAAACATTCCAAATGGGTGAGTTCCTGAAGCGTTCCAGCCTATGTTTAGCTCCACATGCATGTTATGTGTACTTTTCAGGGAGTATAATCCCTAGCCATTTGATTTGAGGAGCCCATGTTCAGCTTTATTCCATTTATGAGTAACCTCTTATTGGGAATATACATGTGTCAGATACTAAACTATATATTGTAACATTCTAAATTTGGTATGATGGATATTTGTTTTCACTGCAACATAAGCCAGACACTTTAGTAAGTATTATTTAAATGTAATAGTTTGTTTGGTTTGTCTCTTAATATAAATTACTTAGCAATATCTACCCTTGGTCAAATAATCATGTTGGTTTAATAAAATACCTATTGGCATCAATTACTTAAAATTATTGCCATATGTTGTCGAGGTTTCTTGTAATAAATTCTGGCTGTATTGTCATAAATGTATTTTTTCCATTTCAAGCTTAAGTGCTCAAAAAAAAGTGTTTTGAAATGAAAAATATGATTCTCATCTCTTGATGTTTAACCTGAAGTCTGTCTATAATTCCAAAAAATACTGTTACTTTGACCACATACTGAAGAAGTAATATGTAAGGCAGATTCTTTGCTGTTTTTTTCTTCTGAATCCACTTTTTATCCATTTTACATCCTTTTGGTAGTGAAAGTTCCAGGGCTTGCTGATCGCAGTTATTAAAATATTCCCCTTAATGTAGAAATTTTGTGAATTAGACTCAAACATTTGTATAAATTTTCAAGTGTCACTATCAATACACTGTAATTTTTTATTTTTATTGTGCATGTGAACCAAAATAAAACCCTAAAACAGGATCATAAAACCAGGTTTTAGTCATTCTAATTTCATTCTTGCCTTTGCTGAATTACTGGAAATTACTCTTTACAAGCATCTGCTAGGAGCTGATCAGAGTGTGACTGATGGATTTTTGAGTTTTAGTTATATTATTATGGAGTATTTGTTCTTGTTGAATTTGTAACTTTACTATAGCAGCAAAGGATACTGGTGTTCTATGCTCAACTACAAGTTCTTGGTTACTAGCAACTGCTAAAACACCTTTGATCCTTATTTGATGAGCATGGCAAAAGAGAAGTATGTTCTGAACTTCAGACTCAGACAAAATTGTTTATTTCACTACAAAATTGGATATTTGAGACTGGATTTTTAGTTATTTGTTCTGATTCTTGTCGACCAGTGAAGCTGCCAGATAATTTTGATCTGTGAAAACAATTTAAATCAATGGGTAACTCCTGTGGCTCAAAATCCAGATTCTGCTTTACTTATATGTGCATCTTGTACCTATACCTTATTGAAAGGTCCTCCAACATTGTTTGGAGTTATTTTAGACGTTATATGTGTCTTCATCTGCCTGTTGAATTAACATTATGGTCTAACATTGAAACAAAAATAGTTTTTTTTGTATTATTATACTCGGCTAAAGCAAGATTTCTTGTCTGTACCCCATCACAATTAATTAATCCTCTACTGCCACCTGTTAATAAAATTAGACGATTAGACATTTATACTTTGACCAAATTAGAATATAAAATCTATAAAAACCAATAAAAAATTATATTACCTCTTGGTAAAAAAATTTTACCCTTGATATACTGTCATTCAGTTACATTCCTCTTATTTTACACCCCTCAATTAATGAGCGAAGGATTTTAAATACCACATTTGTTTAACGTTGATTAATATGTTAGTCTATATTTTGATTTTTATTTTATATATGTCGTGGGCTTATCGTTAGATTGGCCAGATCGAGATATGCCCAGGCAGAACGTGATACTCCGGCACATCATGATCTGGCCATCCAACACAGGGCATATCGTTCAACACTTAACGTTTGGCGATTTGGCCAGAGATACTTTAGGCATATCGATTATGTAGGGTGTCCAAGGTTTTAGCAAATAAAAATAAAGTTAAGAATTAAAATGTTTATTAAAATTGAAAATAATTATTGTTATGAAGCTCTAACTTAACATTATTTTTTAAAATTCCAAATGTGGCACATAGAATCACAGTTCTTTGGAGAGAAAATAACAAAACGCCTATTTGAGGCAAATAAAATATGTATATAAACAGTAAGGTTTAATAAAATGTTAACACAGCCATCACGTAGAAAACGGCACGTACGAGCAACAGCTAGAATTAAATGAAAATGTTAAAAAATAATGAATAACATTAAAAATGAGTTATTTAAATAATAAAGTGTAACTAAATAATCAGACTCATTAATCAGTTGAAAACAAACTTATATTAATAGGAACGTCAAATAGTTTTTCAAAGAATAGTTACCTATTATTTGTTATTAAATATGACAAACATTAATAACATCGTCAAAAAATTCTAAAAATGGCACATTCAATCACAGCCCTTTGGTAATAAAATAAGATAACAAACCAAACGTTCGTAACATTTAAATACCTAAAAAATCTTTAGAAATAGGTAATACAACCCGACAACCGCCATGCAGAAAGAGAAATTAAATTAAAAAATGTTTATAAACATTAAATAGGTACCTACTTAAAAAGTGTTCCTCAATCAGACTAACAACAGACTTAATCAGTTGAAAATAAACTTTGTATTGAATATTAAAGGAAAGTCAAATATTTTTTGAGATATCTATCATTTGTTGATGCATGATATACTTTGATGACATTTTGAAGTGCAGAGAACATTATTCTTATAACATGCACACCTTTTGGTGTGACATTGATTTCTGGCAGGCCTGCAGGAGCATTTCTGGAAACCTTGACCTCCAAACATGGACTGACATGTGACTGCATGACGCAATGTTATAAATGATTCAGAAATGTCTCCATTATAATCTTTGGCTGAAATTTGTAATTCTTGTCTCGGGAACCAGTTTTTTATTGTTCCAGAAGTAGTACCAATTTTAAATACACCATTCCTAATGTCAACAATTTTACCTGCGATGTTCTTGGTATCAAGTGGTCCACGATCAAATTTTGGAACATTTATCAAGACGCTATTACCAACTTCTAATAACGGAAGCTTTTTGACTGTTTGGTCAATCATTTTTTCTGCAGCCCGTTTGGTACCTTTAAGAGTTTGTGCTCTTTCTTTTGCAATGTCTTGTTCTCTTTTGCATATGAAACATAAAATCTGAGACCCGTAACCTTCTTCACCGTCAGTGAGACCACATATAACGTGAACTGGTTTAAAGCACGATCTACAACTATGAGCTCCAGTTGTTTCTTTTGGTACAAACCAAACAAATCTGCGTATTGCAGTCGGCTTTCTTAGTCGTTAGTGACGTGTCGCTACTGGCTGAAACCCCTTGAATTGAAACGACAAAAACATCTTTGCTAGTAGAAGCTCTGTTAACAGTTTGCAAAGCTAAATCTTCTATACAGGACGTATCATTTCTGGGTGAACAATTAGTTGCTTCAAGTTTTTGTTCGGCGGTTTCAATATTTTCTATTTTCAGATCTTGATTGGCAAGCGCCGTTGCCGAATTTACACTTGTTAGGACGTTCTGTACACTTAATGCTTTAGGAACATTTATTTCGGCCGAAACCATCTCAACATCAAGCGTTAGTGCTTTACTACTTAAGCCATCAACATTTGTCCCTTCAGGCAAGATTATCTCCATCGAGGTTGTCGTAATATTCATCTTTTCAGTTTCAATAGATGAAATAACACTGTCTGCGATATTGGCAGGCGCCGGTGCCGCATTTATACATGTTGGGGCATCCTGTACACTTAATGCTTCAGAAATATTCACTTTGGCCGAAACCATCTCATCATCAAGTGTTAGTGCTTTACTACTTAAGCCATCAACATTTGTCCCTTCAGGCAAGATTATCTCCATCGAGGTTGTCGTAGTATTCTTCTTTTCAGTTTGAATAGATGAAATAACACTGTCCGGGATATTAGTACCTTTCAGTAATGTTTTGGGGTCAGAACCGAACAAGGCACGATAGGGTGATCTACCAATTATACGATGAAAAGATGAATTTTTATAATACTGTACGAAGTAGCAACCCACAGACCAATTAGCAGAATCATTATCTTTCATCCAACAACGCAACATGTTTTCTACGTCTTGGTTGCTACGTTCGACGCTTCCTTGCGTTTGAGGACGTCTAGGGCCTCCATGAACGATCTTGCATTCTGGCCACAACTGCACAAGTTCTTCAATGACATGAGCTGTAAACTCTTTCCCATTATCAGATTGTAAAATTAATGGTGCACCAAACTCCAAAAATATTTTAAATAGTTCAAACGCCACCTCCACAGCCCTCTTAGATTTCAATGGCCTCAAGTGTAGAAACTTGGTAGCATGGTCCTGATAATTCATTAACCACTTGTATTCCCCGTCCGGAGCTGATTGTAAATCAATAAGGTCTACCTGACCTCGTGAGTTGAAATCTGGTGATATAATTGGTTTTGTCACTATACCTTTTTTTGGCATGGAACGTTTCATTTCACACACTGCACACAATTTAATGTATATTTCTATAGCTTTTTTCGGTATGTGAAATTTGTTTTTAATACTATATATCATTTTTCTCTGCCACCATGCCCAACAGCTTTGTGAACTTCTGTTAATATATCAAAATATTCATCTACGGCGACTATGCGCACTGTAGGATCATCGGCAGTTTTTCTTTTGAAAATTAAGTAATCTTTGTCAGAAGTTTCCATGACATCATATTTTGCACTCCAATAATAGTCCGAAGAGACCCGCTGCATGGTCACCCTACTTCTTTTTATTTGTTCAATAACCTAAAAAATAAAATGGAACTTTAGCGTACAAACATTAGTTACTTAATCAATCTAAGAATTTTAATACATAATGACATGAGAGAAACGCATCACCTACACATTATTATGCAAAAATAAACACTTGTTTATCAACTAAATACTAACCTCTAAAATACGTTGAGAAGTCCATGGTTTTTTTACATTGTGCGAAGAATCTTTATGTCCCTCATAGAAATCAAGTAACTGATGGTAATATTGTTCTTTAAATGCACTTTTTGTTTCGTTTTAACTGTTCATTTTGATAATATCAACACCACATTCACTTGTTTGTAACGCCGCCATCTTCCGCTCGCGTAAACAAAGCCGAGCGCGCGAAGACAGCGGAATATCGACAAATACGTTATTCTCGTCGATCTGCCCAACCTTTTACTTGGCGCATCGCGATATGCCCGGCCGAATCATGATGTGCCGGCGTTTCAAGAAGTGCCCGGGCATATCTCGATCTGGCCAATCTAACGATAAGCCCACGACATATACAATAATTGCGTTAAAACTTTTATGCATAGATTGTACTTATTGGCGAGTTAGTTAATATGAAAGTTTTCTTGTTTCCATTATATAGGATTCCGACTTTATGGAGGCAAACATTCCATCAGGACAGTCGCGGTTCCATCGCCGATTCTTTTGGGCCTCCTCTATCGTCATCCATGAACTCTCGTCTCGTCCAGCAGCGTAGAAGGCGCCACTGACATTCCCAGATATCACGTTTCTGCAGCGTAGGTGGTGTTCCACCATTTTGAACTTCAGTTAGCGGGAATCGGATCAATGGGACATGGGGCTCTGATAAAAATGCTAACTGATCGCTTGTCTAATGTGACAGGTTTAATAAGAGCTGGCCAATCGATACTATCGTTCGTCCAATTCGTATTGTTATTCAAATTTTCATGAAGTCTAGTTTGAATGAATTAGGGAAATTCAAATTTCCAACACCAATTAAAATTGTATAAGCAAAACTAAGCCGTTTACCACCGAACTGTCTGCAAAACGAAAAGAAATCTACACAAGATCCAAAGATCCTAGAAGACTAGCTTTTGCCTACCGAATCTGTTGTTTATCATCAGTTTCTTCTCGTTTTTGCTGATGTCGAAACATTTTACTTTCATTATTATTTGTGACTAGCGGACCCGCCTGACGTTGTCCAGTCTTGACTATGAATATTGATTTCGAGTTGGTATAATTATCAAAAAAAATATTTCTGAAACAAAGGGTCAATTATTCTATTGCTTTTTTTAAACAACATTGTTTGTTTTTCTGGCGCATTATATAAAAAGTTTTGTTGGTATTGCGACGCGGGAACCGGCGACATAACTGGCCATGTAAAAAACATGGATTCTCAAAATTAATGCCGCAAACAATTAGCGACTGCCCTTGAGATTTATTTATCGACATTGCAAATGCTAGCCGCACTAGAAATTGTAACTGTTTGAAGTCGAATGGCATGTCGTTTTGAGTCAAAAGAATCCGAGGAATCAAAATGTCTTCGCCTTTATACTTCCCTTTCAAAGTTGTGGCTTCGATGACGTTGCTCATTAATTTCTTCACCGTAAGGCGGGTGCCATTACAACGTGGCTGGTTTATACTCTGCAACATAACGATTACCGATCCGATCTTTAGTTGCAGATTATAAGGTGGTAATCCGGGCAATTCCAGCTAATTGAGGACTCCGTTTTGGATAGTTGACAAAATCATTTTGGTTAGTAACGGAATAAATCGATTTGTATGTCATTCATTCGCGAGCTAACTTATTTTGAATCTGGAAATTCATTTCTATGACATCAAGTGGGAAAACCTCGATGAGTTGAATCTTTGTTTCAGTAAAGTGACAAAAATTGGTAGGGAATGTGATATATCCAGACTATGAGTCGACAGGTATTTTGCCATTACCAATATCGAGCAATTGTTTGGAAAAAGCTTCTCTAGATAGCTCGTTCTGCAATTCGACTCGCATGTTTATATTTAATATTAGCGTTTTAACGTCTTTCCAAAAAATGAATGACTAAACATGCGTTCAGTTCGTCGGCTGGCATTGATTGTTGATAATCAAATCATTGCACCACCAAACCGGTTTTGGTTCTTTCGGAAATCTTGCAACGTGCGCTCTAATGCTTCCTAATTATTTTATATGTATTTTATCAATATAATAACTCTGAACATCCTCTTTGACGATATTTTCAGCACGTATTCTGTCAATGTTATGTCAAACGCCATAAGGTTACATCAAATAGTTTCAATTGTAAAAGCACTATGCACTGAAAATAAAAATAGGTTCTGCCAGTCTTGAGTACAATTGCTTATGTAACATTTCTGGATTAATTGTGACAAATGCGTAGCAACGGTTATTCGAGCTCCTCGAGGGATTCTTTTAACTATGGGTATACTATTTTTCATACGGCTAAGATATGTGTGGAAAGGATCACACATATTGGATCGTTGGCTACATAAGTAGGCGCACTCGGAATAATAGGATAGATGTCTAAAGGTGAACTGTTTTGGCTAATACATTTCCTTTTTTGTGGTGTGTATGTTGAGGCCTTTCAAAAGATTTGAATGACTTGTTGCACTGTGTATATGTATGGGTCGCGTTCGACGTGCCATCACAAGATTGGGTCATTAACAAATTGAATAACTTAAAACAAATCTAAAAACAATAAACAAACTTAAAATAAACACTGAAATAATATAAAAGTTTCAAGTCAAACTATGACAGCAGATTGTTTTGATAACAAGACGCATGCGTTGTTACGTAAAAGCCAAACAGCAACATAACATATCTACATCTGTCTCCATTTTTCTTTTCATTAGTTCTATCCGTTTGTTATCACGAGCCCTTTCGCGACGGAGGTGTTCGGCATGAAGTGCAGGAATTTCTTATTTTTGTGTAGAACCATTCACGACATTTATTTTTTAAAGATAATCCTTTTCAAATGTTGGCCGCAACTGCGCTTTAATTCGTACATCCGTAAACATCAATTTTGAATGAGTCCCTCGGAGATTTCGGTCGGGCTGGTGGCCAATCCACCGGTCCGAGACGAGAGATAAACTCTGCTTCTCTGAAGCCGCCTGCATTCACCCGTTTTACGCGTTTTTGCGCACATAGCGCAAGTGGGGACGGTGGCTGGGTAGCGGTTTTTGGTGTCTCTGTAGTGTGTTCTTACACTGTAGGAAATAATAGAAATTCTCACAGTGGACTCTCTGATATGATATAGACACTTACATGTGTAGTATGAAGAAAAAAAAGTTTTGAAGTGTTTTTTTTTCATTTCATTGGAATACACCATATCGGACATCATGGACTTTGAAGGGGCAGAAATCACTGTTTGTAGAATTGTAGGTGATGTAAAGATATCTTTTCCCATCTGAGTATAAATTTCTGGTTATCTGAATCTAATTTTCTTAGATAGAGAGGTGTTATTGGTATGTCTAATAGTATTTAGGGCGTCAGGGATAGCAAGGGCAGTGAGGGGCTCGATGTTGGGCGTTATGTTTAAATAATTATAGTTTTTTAAATATTTTAAAATTTCTGGTCACTCAGGGATTCCCTCACCTGAAAAGGATATGATATAACCTCCAGCAGTGTGCCATAATAAGGAGCTCTGAGTTCCAATTTTACAGTTGAGAGAATCACTACCATCCGGGATTGAATATTGTTGTTTAACAGAAGGGAGAGAGATGATAATGGTATCTGAGGATGATAGGGACAATACACCATATCGGCCATCGTGGACTAAGGGGCAGAAATCACTGTTTGTAGAATTGTAGGTGATGTAAAGATATCTTTTCCCATCTGAGTATAAATTTCTGGTTATATGTTCCCACCCACCTGTGGGACTTCTGATACGTTCGAGGGTAATCATTTCTGCAATAATAACAATTATATTTATCATCCCGTGGAATTTCAGGATTTTCTACTATTTCATCTATTGGGTTCATTAAAAATCGGGAGAAATTGATAGAACTTGGAGGTTCTTCCAATGGGATTACAGAGGTTCCTAATGTGTTGGTAGCATTTGATCCCCAGAAGCCAAATGTGCAAGTTGTGGTAACCTCCTCAGCCCACATAAGAATTCCTTGAATTGTGGAGTCTGTAAGATCTAATTTCCATACAGATACAGAGACTGGGTATTGTGTATCCTGAATATCAAGCAATGTTTCACAGACAGGTCTGGGGGGGTACGGTTTGATTTCAGAGCTAGAGTTTAATCTGAATCTGATTTTCTCAGATAGAGAGGTGTTATTGGTATGTCTAATAGTATTTAGGGCGTCAGGGATGGCAAGGGTAGTGCGGGCTCCATGGGGGGGCGTTATGTTTATATAATTATAGTTTTATAAATATTTTACAATTTCTGGTCACTCAGGGATTCCCTCACCTGAAAAGGATATGATATAACCTCCAGTAGTGTGCCATAATAAGGAGCTCTGAGTTCCAATTTTACAGTTGAGGGAATCACTACCATCCGGGATTGAATATTGTTGTTTAACAGAAGGGAGAGAGATGATAATGGTATCTGAGGATGACAGGGACAATACACCATATCGAACATCATGGACTTTGAAGGGGCAGAAATCACTGTTTGTAGAATTGTAGGTGATGTAAAGATATCTTTTCCCATCTGAGTATAAATTTCTGGTTATATGTTCCCACCCACCTGTGGGACTTCTGAAACGTTCGAGGGTAATCATTTCTGCAATAATAACAATTATATTTATCATCCCATGGAATTTCAGGATTTTCTACTATTTCATCTATTTGGGTTCATTAAAAATCGGGAGAAATTGATAGAACTTGGAGGTTCTTCCAATGGGATAACAGAGGTTCCTAATGTGTTGGTAGCTTTTGATCCCCAGAAGCCAAATGTGCAAGTTGTGGTAACCTCCTCAGCCCACATAAGAATTCCTTGAATTGTGGAGTCTGTAAGATCTAATTTCCATACAGATACAGAGACTGGGTATTGTGTATCCTGAATAACAAGCAATGTTTCACAGAAAGGTCTGGGGGGGGGTATGGTTTGATTTCAGAGCTAGAGTTTAATCTGAATCTGATTTTCTCAGATAGAGAGGTGTTATTGTTATGTCTAATAATATTTAGGGCGTCAGGGATGGCAAGGGTAGTGAGGGCTCCATGGTGGGCGTTATGTTTCAATAATTATAGTTTTTTAAATATTTTACAATTTCTGGTCACTCAGGGATTCCCTCACCTGAAAAGGATATGATATAACCTCCAGCAGTGTGCCATTATAAGGAGCTCTGAGTTCCAATTTTACAGTTACCACGCCGCGCTACCAATTGTACGCTACACACTGTCCCTATACAATATGTGTGGTTTACTTAATCCCCTACAGGCTCATGCCCACGAGACAGTGTTAACATGGCCCTAAAAACTAAGTGTCAGCTAAGTGTTTAATTTATAGACATATTTAATTGCTTTAAGTAGCTCCAAAAAGAGGTCTTTTTGTATTTATTATTGTTTCGCCGCCTCAAATATTTATTTAAATGTTCAGAAAAATTGTCAGTGTTATTGTAATTGTAATTATCTTTTTTTAAAATCTCTTTACTGCCCTCCATTGAGACTCAATTCTTTGTGTATGAGTTCCATCTTCAGCAACAAAGGGGTTGTCAGGATCCAAGTGATTAACCTTTTGATGAATGTACCCATGCTCAGACAAACAATCGTTTGCTCGCCAGAAGTCGGTGTGGATGGTTTTGTGCCAACTTCTACATGTTTTTCAATCCATGTTCCTAAAGTTTTGTTAACTTTGGTCAAATTCCACATCGTGACCACTTCATCTGCTAAGAGGTGACGATCGACAACGGGCCCTTCCTCTACTACTTCCCTAGTTTTTCCCTTACATATTAATGAATTGGGGAGCTTCCCATGCAATAAAGTTACTTCATTTCTATGTAAATCATAGATTGCAATCTCTTTAAAGTAAATAGTGCCCTCAATTGGAAATCCATCTATATCAATCAAATATCGAGCATTAGTGAGATCCGTTATTACCTACACAAAAAAGATTAAACCTCTATCCCTTCACTTAAACACACTAATAATGTTTTTATCAGTAGGTTACCTATTCGTTCCGTGAAGTTTTGTGTGAAACACTCGCTTGGGGTTTCATTCAACTGCTGAATCCATTCGATCACATCCACATTTATATTACCTAAATTGTCTTCCTGTTGCGCTGCAATAAGATCCCAAAGCTGGATTACCGCGTACACTTCTATATCACCAAAGTTGCTAGCTTGGTATAATTGCGTGAGTATTAAGTTTACATCTCCATGTAGTTTTATTAGTGGTACATCATGTGCCCATATGTCCATATACTGAATCCACTCTTGCTTGCTCTCATTTAGCATTATGTCGTATAAGTTCACTAGGTTATTGTTCATCTCAATCAGACCCACTGCAATTAAAAAATACATGGTGATTTATTTATGGCATCTTCAATGTGTGTGTGTGTGTGTGTCTGTGACTATCCATGACCTGCTGCTTGGCCCTTTATTTATCAAATAGGGCTCCTTCGTCTGAATGTATTTAAACATATCTTCACTTAGGTCATGGAAGCGGTTAGGTAGTGTAAGAGAGAACCCATTTCCCCCCATTTTCCAGGTGCACTTTGGTTTGCATCCTGGATGCATGAAACTTTATTTATTTATTTTTTATTTATTGCATTTTAGGAAGATTTACAGTATTTTAACAGAAGGTAAATTATGATTACAATAAAATAAAGTCAGTACTAATTACAAATCTCCACCTATAGATAATCCATAAATACCTTTAGGAGATAGGAGGGATGAAATTAACAATCATGAATTTATAATACTATGAAACAATTAAAGAACTTAAGTAAATGAAAAATTAAGTATGACTATTCTAATGGAAATAGCTGGATGTGAGTGTGCGTCTCACAGAGTCAATGGAAGAACAGAATAGATCGATGTCAAGCTGGG